TAACCTTAATGGGTAGCACTGCAACTCCTCTCTGGCTCAGAGATCTTTTCTTGGCTCATTCTTTTCCCCCCACTTTCTACTCACTAACCCCGAGCTAGTGAACCATTTTGAAAATATTTGTTTTTATGACACCTCTTCCAAATGAAAATGAAAATGAATATAAAGTTGGCACAATCTATCCCTATGAACTACATCCTAAACCCCCCACTGACTCCCTGACCTTGCCTGGGGACCCAAACCAAGCGGTTGCACATGTGAAGCTGTAGTAGCAGCACCAGGCTTCTGAGCTGCTCCAGTAATTTGCCTCTAAAAAAGGCAGGACGCTGACAGTTGTCGATTCCTTCCCTGTTACAGCATATTGAAACCATCCCCAAAGAGTGACCCTTCTGCAGGATTTCACTGGGAGCATGGTGGCTCGAGGGCGCCAGCTTTTTTAGCTGACACCAACGCTGCAAAGCACAATCTGCAGCTAAGCACGTCCCTCGCCTCAGCGGTCTGTAAGCACATGGAGGATGGGAACACCACTGGGTTCACAGCTTGTGTGTGTGCCCAGTGGAAACATTTCTTTTTCTCTTTTGACAAACTAATTTACAGCCAAGAATAACAGCAGAGACTTGGACAATTTATTAACTCTTCAGTCAATCTCCTATGCAGATGGCTTTGTGGTTTCCCATCACTTTTGTATTTCGAATGTGTAATCTTTCCTCGCTTTCCAAATAGATACTGTTTTACAGCTTTTGTACCTGCTAATACCCTGCATTTTTAAGAGATCACAATCAAATTTAAATGTCACCCTACTTACAAAGAGGAGAAGCTGCTGAACTAACATAAGAACGGTAATGAGATATTGTTACACTGCTTAGGATAATGACTTCCACAAACAGCAGAGCATAGCAGCGCCTTTTAATTTGGAACATTCAAAACCAAAACAGCTTGTTTTTTGCTACAGATAATTTGTCAGTACCAGTGTTCCTACTTCTAGGTAGAGTATCAAGGAAGGTAACACAATTCTCCACTGATTTGTAGCTCCCATTGTAATGTTTTCATTCCTGTTGCAGTTAGAAATCAAAATGCATGGCTGCTGCTTCACGTTTTCAATTTCAACAGGAAAGCTAGGAAGCAGAGAAATATGAGAACATCTGAACTCACTGCTGAGCTACATATTCTAAGAAATGCACATTTTAACTCTCTCCATCACACCATTACCTGTGGTGCAGTCCGTCAACTCCGGGTCAAATTTGTAGGGTGCTTAGACTGAAATACTTCCACTGACTTTATTGGTGACCTTATTCCAGGCAAGCATATCACCTGCAAAGCTTATTCACTATTGAGTAAAGGTCAGTGTATTAAATTTCTTTACAAATGGTAAACTGAAGCCATAACCCAAATGCATGTTAGCTCCACTCGGCGCACAGAATTCCAGCCTGGGCCAGAGAGGTCGGCAGGACCCCCACTGCCGGCTCAGTGTTGGCTGTGCTGTGTGGTTTCTGAGGGTGGTGAGAGCACAGATAATTAGTAATTACCTTTCTTGCGCAGAAGAACACTGGCATGCTTCCGTCCATTCCTGTTTTCCACGTGGCACGTATAGTTAGCCAGATCTGCCTCTTCCACAGCATCAAAGATCAATGTCAATTCAACTTCCTTTTCTCCAAGATGTTCTCTGAGGAGTCTGAAAGGAAGGATACAGCCTTCTCTTAATTGAATTAATAAGGGGTGGAAGATGTCTTAAAGAACTATGACTGGTCAGCTCAAGATATAAAGTGTCCCAGGCCTCTCACGCTCCCAGAGAAGGGAGGAAACCAAAGGTACCTGGAAGAAATTTAACAGAGGCATCTTTTGTGCTATCCAAAAACCTCTATTCTTTCTATGACTGGAGCAAGGAGCTGAACCAAGTGTAGGAAGAGGGGCAGTGAGCGCAACAGCTGCACGCAGCATGTTCACCTCAGCTCCACCGGAATTAACATGCTAAAAACAATGCTTCTTTTTAAAGTAGCAATAAGCATGCACTTTGCAGAGAAGTAAATACACACTACTAATCCACAGCTGAGCAAATTATAAGGCAGTTATTTTAAAGGCTGTGTCTTGCTCTACATTTTAGTGCAGGCTGGAGAAGCAGCAGAGAAGCTATGCTACTCTGTGGAACTCTCCTTTTTTTTTTATTTTTTGCTAGATCTTGACTTTAAAAGGAAAGGGGACAGTGTCAAGAACAAGGGCTCTTTGCTCCTTTGAGAGCACAGAAGGGAAATGCAAAATCCCCACTAAAGGAATACAAAGCTCTAGCAGAATTTCAGGCCAGAGGTACACTCTTTTCATGCTATTATTCCAATGCGAACATTAAAATGAATGCAAAGTAAATGCAAGTGTTTTCTGATGATGACTTAAGACTAAAAATAAAATACCCTATTCCCTCAAAAGGCTTCTTATCAGTTGCTCAAGAAAGTTACTGGTTCTTTGAACAAGGAAATGTAACGTCAACTATAATCTGCCAGATCCATTTGATCCTGTTAGTGTACTGTTGCATAATGTGTAAGGGGATAAACACAAACTGCGTGATGCACTCATAGGCCAAAGACTGTGAACGCACGATTGCATGTAGGTTACTGCTGTGAGTCTAGCAGGGTTTTACCGAGAAAAGATAGCGTAGTGCACTAAGAGGCAGCGGTACTATAAACAAGATTGAAGTACACCAAAAAAAGGAATGGTTTCTCCAGGGGCTGAGGCATTAATGGCAGTCGGACACAAGGGAAGATGGGCCATGAATCAGAGCGCTCTTTGCGCTGCACGGACACTGTTTCTCCTGCACAGCTTAAAATTTTTCGTTCACAACAGCAAACCCCAAACTTCTCTATTAGAAATCAAAGTCGTTCTGGGTGTTTAAAGAACACACGTTTTCCTGCGGACAGTAAATCAGGTCACACAGCAAACGCGCATCTCTGCATTTGAGTACAAATCAGAATGGAAGGGTGTGTGCACTGCACTTGACAATCAAAAATCCAAGCCTGTTATAAACCATGTATTTACAGTAAGATTTCATATAGCACATGGCTTTTAAAGGCTCATGTGATCTGACAAAAACTCAGAAGACAAACCAGAGCGTCCACAACAATTTATCCTCTTACACTATAGCTGTAAAACTTGCAAAAAAGTGCAAAAGCATTTGTTTAAGAATAGGTATATGTCTTGTTTTGTAAAAGGTTGAACTGCATCTTTTTTTGCAAATTTACCCTCATTCATTGTCTACTTCTGCATTTTCTTATTCTGGCCCTGACTCCAAGTGCTGAAAATAATGCAAGAAATGCTGAATTTGTATCACTTTTGGCCAGAATAGAAACGGCCCAAGAGACCCCGATCTGTTTGCAGACTCAAATCTACCGCTGTGTTCAATCAGTCTAAGTAGTTGAGTGTCTGATAAATCAATTCTCATTTACCTATTAATATTCTATGTATACAGTGAAATATTTTGAACTTTGGAAAGTCTTTCTTCTCTGTTGGTACACAATATGCTCCACAAATTTTAGCCTACAAATCATGCTGCAGAGAACAAATAAAACCATTAGAAGAGAAGATACCTAGGACATTAATCAGGAGCACGTTGTGAACGTTCAGATTGTCTTGTGTTTATTACAATCAGCATATTTTACACATGGTAACAATTATGAAGACAGATTACAATTAACATAAAATAAACTATTATTGAGAATCTATTTAAAATAAAATAACCAACCCTTAACCTACATTTATATAATACTTGATCATCTAAAGAAGCAGCTTTCATAAAAAGGAATATGAACTTAGACAGAATTTTTCTCACTTATTTTCCTGTTAATTGCAATCTCTAGGGAGACAGCTCCTTAGAATGGGCTCTATCATGCAAATACTAACAGATGCTTAAACATTATGTTTGTAGCAAAGTGTGGGAAGCTCCTAGTTAAACTAGGAGTGGAGTTAAACTTTTATTTCTGCTTTCTTTTCTTTTCTTTTTTACCAGCACTATATAGCTCATGATCAATTAGTGCCATCAATGAACAGAGTCACCTAAAATTATATAATACGTGTAAAACTGCATTTTGTAGTTGGTCCAGAGAACACCAAGCACAATATTTTCAAGACAGAAAAAGCAAACAGGGTCAACAAGTTTGACTTTAAAGTTGCAACAGTGTTCACTCCATGAAAGCAGATGAAGTTCTGTCCCTGCCAGGGTTGGTGGGAATTTTGCCAGTAACATTATTAACCCATGCCCACTCCCACAAGTTGGGAAAATAATGGCTTTTTTCTGGTTTGATCGCCTACGTAAATCAATGGTGCTGATCAACTCCTAATAATCAGGCTAGAGGGATAAGAGGTGGGTGAAATGAAAAAAAAAATTTCTTTTTGCTCAAGCTGCAGCATTTTATTTGATCTAACACAAAACATTTTATTTTGTCTAGTGGTTATTTATCACTTAAGAAAAACTGAATTAAAAAATAAAGCCTCATTTCAGACTAAAAATGTTTCCTTTCAAAAATGTCCAAACAACGCTTCAGATTTTTCAAACGTTACCTGTCATACTTTCCCCACTGTGTTTATGCATTAAGTTGAACCTGAAGTTACAAATACCCCTCTCCTTTGAAACGACGTTTTCCTGAAGTTCTCATGTTTGATGTGATCACAGATCTCAAGGCTATAAGAAGGCTTCACCCGGGTCTCTTTGCAGGGTCAAGGCATTAATTCCAAACCTTTATTAATCTGCATGTGAGTTGAGACTTACCAAAAAGACAAACTTTTATTCCTTAGATAGTTGAGGATCTGGACTGTTAACAGGGATGCGAACTTTAGTCCTTACTTCAGAAAATTGTTAACAATAGACTGTAGATAAAAGAGCTTATTTGCATGCGTGTAAGTACTCTCCAAAGAACAGTAGCTCAACTAACAACGCCGCACCGCGGTCCTCCCTCTCAATCACTTCCCTGCATCCTGGTCCTCATTCTCTGCCCATAAATTGTCTACTTAAATATTACAAGCTTTTCAGGAGAGGGCTGTCATTTCCTTACTTCCCTGCAAAGTACCTAAGACATCACATAAGCAGTGCTGGTAATTCTGCCTTCCTCCTTCAGCATCCTCTCCTAGCACAATACAGCAGCCACTTCTTGTCTGAGTGTTTCGCACCCACTAATTAACTTCTGTGGGTGAAAAGGCAAAGTGCTGAATTAATCAGTGAGAGGAGATAAGGCTGCAGTTTATGGGGGGGGGGGGGGGGGGAAAACAAATGAACATACTCTTCAAGCTGAGCATTATGAGGTATCTGCAAAGTGTTCTGCAGTGTCGCCGGAAAACAGAAGAGAAGTAACTCATAGGCGGTTGGGAGAGTAAGCTTTATCCCTGATTTATATCTCTGCCGTGGCAGAGAGATGGGGTTGAAATTTGCTCTAGGCTCCTCTGATAATCAGGTGCAACCGACAACTCTGCAGGCAGGCTTAAAGACTAATTCCTCGTTTAATAGCCTTATTCAATTTACATGACATTTTTATTATCGCTGTGGAAAACCCACCTGTCAAGCAAATTCTCTTTCTCCTTTTCCCCCTATGAATTTATAACATTTGGGGAGCTTAATGCAAGGGCAGACAATGAGGCCGGTAAGAGAGGGGTCCATCACCTGTGCCCCGCAAAGCTGATTAGTTACTTTTTACTATGAGGCTCTCTAAGAACGCCTAATAAATAATCATAAACCCAGGGCTACACATATTATATATGGTGAAGAGTATTTACCAAAACAAACAGTTCCATGGCTTTGAGTTTAACAGCAACGCTAAAGTCACATGCATCCTTATTTCAGTGCTTTCATAAAAAGTGCCTAGACTAATTGACTTGTAAATAAGCATACCAGAGACAGCGGTGGGCGTTTTAGACCCCCTCCGTGCATTTATGTGCTAACCTGCTCTCTCACCAAGTACAGAAAACCCAGTGACACAATGGATGGATACAGTCCAGGGCAAGGACAGCACCAGAAATTCACAGTTCTACCTCCAAATTCACAGACTAATTTACAACAGGAGATGTAGAGTTAACATATTAAACGTTTGTCAAAGGAACAACACACGGAGTGTTTTGGTCTGGTTGTAACAATCCCAATTACGTAAAGTTTCTCAGCATTAACACAAGTGTGTTGATAATACCATATAGAAGCAGAGGGATGGGAAAAGTGTCTAATGGGGAAGTTCACTGTGGGTCATCAAACTTGCAACATCCATGACATTTTTTGAAATACACCAATAAATACAACTGGGTGGCAGATGTGGTCCAGCTTGGGGTGCTGATAGAGCGGCTAGTGCTGCTTAGTATTACTAAGTCAGAATACCCATAATGGGATGCATAAGCGAGAGCTGTCACCGTGAAAAAGTCATTTGCAAAAAGTTCCTACTGCAGTTGCCATAGCTACTTCTAAATCAAAACAGGGATGGCCTGTGGTAGTGCTACTAATGATGCAGTAGGTTTTGGTAAATGCTATGCTTTTAATGCTGGCTGCGATGCAGGACACTGGATACGTGATAAGCAGCTTTACTGAAGACAAGACTCACTGAATTGCGAGGGGTCTGTAAATTGAGTCAGAGCATTTTAACGGAGAGAGGAAGGGGAGCATTTTAATGGAGAGAAGAAGGGGAGTTGTAACACAATTAGTTTGAATCAACAATATGCAATGAGATGGGGCAAACTAGTCAAGGAATAACGTTTTCAAACTCAAGTTTCACTCACAGAAACACACATAAAGGACGGGTTCGGACCTGTGCTAGCCTTGGAGGGCTCTTTAAAGGCAAAGCTCAAATTGTCCTTCTGATGTGAAGGAAGGACATGATCAAAATCACACTGTTCCTATACCAGGGAAGGCATGATGTAGTTAAATGTTCATTACTTGCAATGGCAGAAGTTTCCAATAATTGTCTTTTGTGGTCAGAAGCCCAGAAAGCGATTGTACACTTAAAACCTTCTGACAATAGATGACAAAGTCTGTCTATGCAATTAAGCAGCAAAGTTAGGTCAGTATTTTAGTTTATTTTAATAACTAGTGGTTCTTACTAGTGGTTATTACTATGGACTGAACTTCAAATTGTTGATCACATAATACAGTAAAGGAATCTTTCTCTCTTCCTCCTCTACAAATTAATTTTAGAAGAAAGAAAAAACTCTGAAACTAGGCCAAAATTGAGCAATGGAACATGTAAAGACTTTGGCCTTCTTTATGATCTATATTCATCACCTGTGTATGGAAGCTGGGACCACCTCGTCCATTGTATAATCCTAGCTTAGTCCTTGCCCAAAGAGCTACTGATCAAGTAATTATTTATCAGGGAAGTACAAATTCCATGAACAGGCGTGGGGATACAAGTGATTCTTTTTGTTACAACTGGTAGAGCACAGGAAAATCAGCATTTGAAACAAGCCAAGAGCATGCTGCGTATCAGACACCCGCACACAGTGATTTCCTTCTCTCCCTTAAATGCAAGGGTGGAGGAACGAATGCTATAGTCTTTAGAAAGTTCTAGTTAAGCCACATCGCGAGCCATATCACAGACAGCAAATACATTTAGTAGAGGAGAAGAAGTAGGGACAGTTTGATAGGAGACTATTCATCTTTAAGATTAACACTGACGCTGAAATTAATGTCATCTTGCCAAAGACTGCCACGAGGGGCAGCTGCAGTGGACAGAAGCATTTCCACGCAAGGCTCAAACCACCTCCCAGGACAGTCGGAGATGCAGGAGCTGCCAGCATGGGGATTTAGTGATGGATTCTCAGGCGCACGGATAGCAACTGTCTCCAGAATTTATCCACTAGAAAGGAGAGGGAGGAACTCGCACTGCCCTGCTTCCAAGTCATTCATCATTTGTTAGTCAGCTCAAATTACAATTCTATTTAAAAAAATAAACAAACAAACAAAAATCCCCAGGCTTTTGGGACATACCATATTCTTAACAGTAAATACTCCAAAAAGTACCTGACTTCGCCTTCTCTAATGTGACCTTCTAATTCTTCAATGAATTTTTCCCCTTTCATCCAGTAGATCATGGGGCCTGATTCTCCACTGAATCCGAAGAACGCTTTGCAGGCCACGGTCAGCGGGTTGCCTGAGGACGACAATCAGAGCAGGGGTTAGACCCATCGGCACGGCTGCTAATGAGAAAACGATGGTGACAAACCTCAATGCCTTAGGTTAAACTCTCCATTTAAAACTGAAAAAAGGGGGAATAACTATAAACCATAGGAAAAAGGATGATGTGGATCTGAATCCACAGGAAACAGCTGTGGAATGAAACCCTGAGGTTATCCATCATTTTATTATTCCTGGCAAGATACCATGCGAACAATGAGAGGGTATGGAAACGGTGGCAACGAAGGGTGACGACAGATTCGTTGCTAGAAAGAAAGAGGCTTCTTTGTCAGACTCCTGGGAGTACCACCAGGACTGGAGAGCGTGCTCAACAGGCAGGTACTTCACTGAACTTACTTATGGCTGCCTATCCACCTGTAAAAAAGACATAGTATTAATTTCTTCCTCACTTAGATAGAAATCACACGTTAATTAAGTCTTGGTAAACTGTTCAGAGAGCTTTTAAAGTCCTCCAAGTAATAAGAGATGCCAGTGAGCACCCAGTAACACTTCTGCTGCTTTCAGGAGATTTCTGGCAAAGGACCAAACTTCAAAGCATTGCTCAAGCAATAGGGTAAAGAACTCTCCCTTTCAGCTCTTCAAAAATACTTCCAAAAGAAAGAAAATAAAGCTTGGAAACTAAATCAGATTCCTCTCCAAGATTCAGTGGTTAGATAGTTCTGTGTTTGGCTATGGCTTTAGCTGTACTAGCTAGTCAAACACTCTGCAATGCTTTGGCTGCCAGGACAGATGGTCCTGCAGCAGGAAGAAAGAAAAAAAAAAAACCCAAACGAAGCCAGGAAATTTAGGAGAACCATGCCCTTTCCCTGAGTACGCAAATACAGCTGTTGCCTGCACTTCTCTCTGCCCACTTTACCTGGCCCAGGTGGTCCAGGTCACAAAGCGCCCGTGAGGTTACAAGCTTATGTGGGACAGCAGGCCTTATCTAATGGCAATGAAGCCTCCTACAAATCTGGTAGGACCTGGATCAAATGCAGAGAGTCCAAATAATGGACCTCACTATATTTGGAAGAAATGTTTTAGTATGCTAGTCATTCATAGTGCTAGCAGGAGACTCTCGACATTGAAATAGAACAGGCCTACACTTTTCACGAAGGGCTAGTCATTTTGAGTGCACTAGTTGGCTGAGCATGAGCTAAAAGACTTCCTGCACTTTAATCGGTTACCTCTTGTGTGCTCCGTAGTGACAACTGACTGTGTGCATACTCAGGGCATATCTGAGCTGTATGTTAAAATATCTTTGCCTAAATCCCCACAAAGCTGTGTTCGTACTTGCCTGTCCGTAATTTCAGTGCCCAATTTAAGGCATGTCAAAAGAGCCTGATTATTCAGGAAGCATAGCATTCCCAGGCACTGAAAATCAGCCACCTTCAAATTGTCTCCAAGTCAAGAGTCAAAAAATTACAAGTCCTTCTGAAACATTAGGATACAGCAAGAAAAGAAAGTTTAAGGACTGCAGTTGAGTTAAACTATGTTTCTCAAAAAAAAATAGCAAAAGAGAAAAATGGAAAGGAAATCAGAATGTTTATCCTGAAAATGTTTTACAAAAATCTTTCATTATTTCCATATTCACTATGAGCTCTGGTACCACAGCTGGCCTTTGAACACGTGCTGATGCTTACAGATTATATACGACCCACTCAAATGTCCAATACACCCAAAGGATAATCACAGTTCTTTGTGCATCCCACTACATTGACCACAGTCATAACATTTCAAACTTTGTCAACTGATGAAGAGTCTAACAGCATTTCCAGGCAAACATTTAAACTGAACTACAGGACACTATCAGGGAGGTCCGTTTTATTCTGCTTATCTCATGTTCACGCTGAAGAAGTCAGCCCTGCGAGGTGCTGCGTGCCTTCCACGGGTGAAGGTGAGAACTTGAGCCTCTGGCTATATCCATCTCACATTTTCCAACACGCTGAATGCCAGCTGCGAGGTCTTTTCTGCTGCCTGCCTCAGAGTCATGATATGTGTCTATTTAAATACCACTTAGTGATTCCTAGCATGTGGCTGCTCAGCCCATGTTTGATTTTAATGGAAAAAGACAATTATATGCAATGTGAAAAAGAAAAAGGCTAGATATGGCCTATCAGCAATGACAGTATATGCCCTTTACTTGGCAAACCATGCTGGGCACTAAGTGTTACAGGCATAGTATTTTGCAGGGTGGTTTTTTTTTTTCCTCAAACCAGCGTATTTTTACTTAAAAGGAACCCTGAAGAAACAAAAATATTCCAAAGTGAATCTAACATTTCTATACATGCAGAGTAAATATCCTGAGGTGGTATGTTTGGTCTGAAGAAATAAAAACATTTCTATACAAATAGGAAAAGCTACAAAATAGCTGTTGGTATACAGCTTCTGGAATAAACAAACCTAATGTATGGTATGGGGAGGGAACATCAGTACCCTTTATTACAACAGCCTGAATGCTCCAGACTTGCCCATGCAGTTCTATTTCCCAGCTTTGCCTCTAGGGAAAACCTACAGAATAAACTAATTTGGTCAATGGCTATCTTTCATTAGTGCTTCAGCTTGGAGCCTGGGACTGGCCACACCTGAACAAACCCATGGTCCATCTCATCTGCTAACCCATCACTGATCACAGAAAGATCTAAGCAACCGTATCACATGGAACAATGTATTTTTATCTCAGTAGCAGAACAATGCATGTTTTTGGTTCAGTTGATCTGTCCTTGGGAAGAAAGAATGGCTTGGCGAGACCTCAAGATCCCATATAATGCAAACTCTCACACGCTGCCCTTCTATTCCCCAAGCTCAGGCAAAAATCTGTGCTACAGGCCTAATGAGGACATCCCACTCTCCTGCACATGCCTGAAGCAGCATCAAGTTTTGTAACTCTCACAATTCCTCTGTGGTCACAAGAGCGGCTAGCAGGACAACGTCTGAAAAGGCAATATTGGCTCTGTCTCAGAGAAACTCTTTACCTCCACAGATAGGCCTCCATAAGGAAAAAGATGGGAGGTTTCCTTCTCCAGCCACGTTAAGACAGCTGGCTGCAACCTGCTTCCCCTGGTTTTCAGGGAATTCCAGGCAGTTCCTGCCCAGCAGAGAAACAGGGCACATCCCATTGTATTTCACCCCAAGCGGAGAGATCCTAAGGCTGTAGCCAAATTCCCCCATTCCTGAACGTTCCTGTGAAAGTGAGGAAGAAATAGGCACTCAACAGGGAAAGTGCCTGCCTGCTGCAGGTCCTGGTTGGGGGCTGCCTCCGAGCCATGTCATACCGCAGTGAGTCCACGTCTCAGGCAAAAGGAATCAGCAGGCAGTTTGTCACTCTAACAAGTCATCTTGAGTACAGCCTAGACTTTTAGACACCATTACTGCTGTTCTGCATTCCACTATTAACTGTTCCTATTAAGAAGAAGTCCCCTTGCACCATTTACTTAAAAACATGGAAGTTCCAAGAACGTATGGTATCCTAAAAGTTTCCCGTTTATAAATGATTTCTATTTAAATTAGATAGACATTTCAGTTGCATTTTTAATTAACAAAATAATTTGCTGAAAACTAGAGAAAATGACTAGAGAGATTTGCAATGAATCAACAGCTAATGGCATGTTTTAAGAAACACGGAAAGACGGTAAAAAGCCTCCTAGCAGACATCACTGGTTGTGCTGCTTTGCTGGGGTCACCTTGTTACCGTAAAGCCTCAGGATCCACACAGAAGTCTTTACTTTAGCTTTTTTCCACACTCTGCCAATCAGACAGGCTTGTTGCAAACTCGCAGCTGATAAGACACAACCACTGGTGATAGAAGTGACTTTTATGGCTAAATCTTACCGTATATTTTTCATCTGACCTTTTTCCACAATAAATGTGTGTGCACTCTACCATACATGTGAATATTTTTTCTGAAGAAGAGGATTCCACAGAAATGCAATTATTCAAAGCAAAATAGCTGCCTGGTGGGGGTAGGAGTCTTGGCTATGGATGGAAAAAGGGTTCACAGAAGAATTTAGCCAGGCATGATTCTGAATGTGCTCACCGCAGCTTTGACATGCCTTGAAAGAGAACGACAAATGTTGCAGCACAGACTTTCTTCAATGAAGCACTCTCCAAGCATTGAGCAAACGAAGCTTAAAAAACCCACAAGTTGTTTAATCCTTTAAAAACTTAAATGTCAAGGCTGGATGACCGACCAGCACAGAACACAAAAGCTGTTCACAGAGCATAAGATCTGTCCTATGTCAAAGTGATTTTTCAGAAATTTATTTGAAAATATTAATTTCTCTTCTTCCTTCCTTTTGTGCAACTAGGTGTATTTTGTGGCTTATCTGCACCCATTCAAGGGTGCAACATACAATTCACATTCTCTCACATCTACACTCTGCTGGTGCTCTCTTCTTCCAGCAAATCAGGCTCTCACTCCTGGAGCAAATTACCTCATCTGGAAGCCATCGAAGTTATTTGTGGATCCTTCTTTGGTCTTTCTATAGCTTGAAATATTAGTTTTTTCCAATTCTTTTGCGTTCTTGTACCACATACACCAGTACTTACAACAAGCCTGACCAATGCTTTCACATCTCCCTATGTGGAAGGTGCAGGCTGTTAATCATCAAAGCCCAGAGCAATTGTTAATTTTCTAAGAAACTGAAAGAAATAATTACAGGAAGAAAAGACAGTAATAACATCATCCCCACCTCCATTCTCACAATCCCATCCCGACTGTCCAAATTAAATACCAACAGTAGAAGGGCTGTGCAATTATCCCCAGAAGTAGAGAGTTAGGCTTCTGTCATGGTAACGTGAATCCTTGGAATCACAACTGTTCCCTGCTTTGCTTCCTTTTACTGAACTCTAAAATGATACACCACATAATTCACACACATGTAGTTCAAAAGACTCCATCAGCTACTGCCAATAAAGTTTCTTCTGACAAGATATGCCATGTCTTTAAGGGAGAGAGCTCTTCTCTGCTGGCCGAGC